TTTAAGGTTTAAGGTTTAGGGCCTAGGGTTTAGGCGAAAGCCACACACAAGGCCAAGTCTGCCAAGCCCCAAGAGTCCTCAAGCCGGAACCCCAATCGTTCTTACCATCCTTTCCCTTTTCACCTTCTTCTTCGTCCCGCCATAGCATTGTCTTCTTCTGTCACCTGTATACCTAAACCCTAAACCCTACTAAAGCCTAAAGCCTAAACCCTAAACCGCAGGCATTCCGACCCTGACGTTCCGGGGCACGAGTCGCTCTCTGCACGTGGCTCCGCAAAGGCCACGGTCCTCTGAAAATGGCGGGTTACTTCCGAGCTCTGAGGATAATGACGACAATGAAGATGACGACAAGGATGAGGATGAGTAACTGCTTACACCAATGGCGCGATGCTGATGATGATCATGATGATGACGATGATGATGATGATGATGATGATGATGAGGATGAGGATGACGATGAGGAGGAGGAGGAGGAGGAGGAAGAGGAGGAGGAGGAGGAGGAAGAGGAGGAGGAGGAGGAAGAGGATGAGGGGGATGAGAATGAGGAAGATAATGATGATGATGATGATGATGATGTTGATGATGCTGTTGATGCTGATGATGATGAGGCTGATGCTGGTGGTGGTGGTGGTTGTGGTGGTGGTGGTGGTGGTGGTGGTGGTGGTGGTGCTGGTGGCGGCGGTGGTGGTGGTGATGGCGGTGGCGGCGGCGGCGGCGGTGGTGGTGGTGGTGGTGGTGGTGGTGGTGGTGCTGGTGGTGACGAGGACCAGGACGAGGCTTGCGTCGCTTTTATTGTTGCATGCGCTGTTGATACCAGCGCTACGATGCTCATGCTACTGCGACGGCGAATGCACGCCAACGCCGATGCGAAAGAGGATGCTACTGTTGCTGCCGTCTCTATGCAGGGCAAATGCAGAGATGCAGAAGCGAGTTCGTACATCCGTACGGTGCAGCCAAACAGATACACCATTTCGAAGCCAGGACACAGCTCGTACTCCTCCCATCCCTCAGCCGCCTCGACCTGCTCCTCCACCAGGGGGCATCTCACGACAAGCATAGAGATCCCCATGTGCTAAACTGTTAGACATTCACGACCTGTGATAATGCAGTCAACATGTTGGCCAGGATTTTACTGGGAGAGTTGCTAAGAACTGTCTTCAAGCCATGGCACAGAAAAAAAACCAAGTAGGAGGTATAATAATTTGCTCAGGCATGGACTTCAACCCAACACTGTTACAGCAGCAAAAACAAGAATTGCCAGCCGCCCGGCCACGGATCTCGCCATTTCTAGCACACATCCTGGGCATTCCATGCTGCCAGAATGCAGGCCTCCACATGCTTCCATGCTCCGATTGAAGTGTGTCTCTATGCGTGACCCAAACCTGCAGTGCGTAAAATGAGGACACCGAAAGTTCTCACAGCAATCCGAGCAACCGAGCGGAAACCTCTTACAGCGGTTCAGGCGCCCGCTGTCTCAACAAACTCAGAATCAGAATCAGAACCAGCCACCGCATGCCAGCGCTGAAGCCTGCAAAATGTGACCTTGCGACAAAACCTCTGCACTCGATCTTAGAAAGCCAGACAGGCCGGAAGCAATCTCCCATGATCCGATAAGCACCACCATCGAAAGGTACTCAGGGCTGCAGAACAACCCCCCGAGCCGCCCAAATCACATACGTAAGTGCGCATCGTGCACTCTGGAGCTGCTCGGCTCGCTCCTCAGAGTCCTCCACCTTCTCGTCCGCCCGAAATGTTTGAATCTCCGCGTTGTATGCTAAGTCCTTGCTTTCAGCGCAGAGCGAACGCGTGAAAGCGTCGGGTAGGTGCAGCCCGGAGTCTAGTGCACCATCGGCATCGTGACCTGGCATGCAGGCTGAGGCAAATCTGGCCACTGGAATGTAATGCATGTGTCAAGATGCCAGATTCCGAAATCAAGGTCCTGGCCTGCTTGCTTCGCTAGATCCTGACAGCGCAGTCCAGCTGAGATTTTTGGTCGCAGAGTCTACATGAAGCCTCAAGCTGCAAAGTCCTTGTTCTCCAGAAAGCTTGAAAAGTCTGCGAAGGCTCTGTTGCGTGCCTGAACATGGAACCATGACCCCATAGCCTGCCACTCCGAGATGTTGCCTCGAGGCGGATCTGCGGCGTGTCCAGGAAATGAGGCAAAACCTGCAAAACGATGCAGAGTGACGTCATTCATACCGTATGAGGCTTCCTTTTTGCACAAACCTGACTCCGTGTGCACACCGCCGCTGACGCGAGCAGTGTGGAGGTGCTTCGGCCCCCGCCCCTCAGAGCATCGCAGACAACCGACAGAATGCCACGACGAAACAGAGGTACAAATGAACAAGGGAAAGAGTCAAGCTTCAGCGGCATGTGCCATTCTGCAACTCGGACCATGGCTTACTCAATTCGTTAGACCAAGGATCTGCACGGCGTCGTAGAACACTTCAGAGCGCACCATGCTAAGCCGAGCTCACTTCGATAAATCTGTTCGCTCAAGACAGAACAGCCAACAAGACGACGCTGTGGCTCAGGGAACTAATCAAAGTCTACAGACACCGTTTGCATCCCAAAGTGACGGCATGCCCAGTGAACCTGTGTTGAGCGATATCTATTGTTGTCTCATGTGCTTTATCTCGCACGGCCTTCCCAAATGCAGCCATCCATCTTGAGAGCTAGCCAGCATGAGCACACGTCTCGATTTCACATGGTGGCGCGCAATGCTCTTTTGTGAAGTTTTGGTTTCATGTCTGTGTGCGCATCTCTATGTAGCAGCGGTCAGGTCCAGAAAAAAATGCCCCGGGGCTCAAAAAGAGACCCGGGTCAGCAACTGTGTGCATCAAAGCATAGAGGTCGAACAAAAATGATGGTCCTTTTCTGGACCTCGTCGCGGGGTTGAAAAAAGATCGAGGGCGAAAAAAAGACATGTCGGGGTCGCGCGGTGGAACAGACATTTCGGGGTCGAAAAAGAGAGCTACCCAAATGGAACAAAAAAAAGAATTGCGCTTTCTCTCGTGCCAACAATTCAAACATCAAGGCTTGAGAGACCCAGGCCAAACACAACTTTGGATTCTGTGCATTGTTGGAAGTGTGTGTTGTGGTCTCGCGGGTTGATTTGTTTTGTTTCTTCAGGCGCTTCGTGACGGCGGCCATCGTTCAAAGGCAATGCTAGCTGATTGCATGCACGGTGCAGTGGTGCATGCAACTCTTCTCCAGGCAGGTACGGATAGGTTCTGGTCGAGCAAGATACGTTAGCAAAGGCAGGTCTGCGTGCGTATGGGGAAAAGCACGCTATGCCAAAGACATACGTCTATACAAGCTTGTATCAGCACTGTACTCGACATGCGAAAGCACCCTTCAAACTTCCGGGTCTCTGGACGCTGACGTCCAGGCCACCCAGACTGCCAAGCCCAAAGCAAGCACGAAAATCCGCAAAAGCTTTCTGCAACGATTAGCACAGCAGCACACAAATTGTGAACTTTGATGACATCCGTATACCCTGCACTGCCGCCCTACGTGGATGGGTTTCCTGTGCTCTTAGACTGGACCGGGTGACTCGCATCCGGCAGCTTCCCTTTGGGATGCAGCGACAAATCTGAAATATCCTTACCCGACACATGGCAGGCTGCCCGAAACGATTCTCAAATATGCAGGGCAAGCATGGCCAGTCCGACTTTGCCTGACCTGTCCAGTCAGTGCACACCGCTTCCGGGCGTCGTTGGATTCGACCCGGCAAAGTTGGAACCGCTCTTCGACCGGTGCAAGGACAGCAGATCCCTCAGAGGCACCTCTTTCTGCACCTCGGCGAGAATGCTAGTTCGATTCTGTTCTCAAAGCAGTGTCGACCAACAGTGCTATCGGTTGGTCAAGACTTCTCATAACGGCTAGAGACCGCCCTGTATAGTGTAAAAACACTGCATCCAACATTATCCAACAGCCTGTCGCAAGAGCTCCTCATCCACGACATCGGCTTGCCCTCGTCCCAAGAATTTTTCGCGCAGCCTTTCTATCCCGGTCCTTGCAAGGGAAATTCACTTGTCTGCGGCGCTCGTCGCAGCGGCACGGTAACTGAGTGCCGGCAAAGCTTCTCTTTGGAACCGGCGACCTCGAAGCCCAAGTTTTCCACCACCTCCATCTCTCGAAGCAAGTCCTGGCTATGGCATGTCGCATATAATGCCTGTGAAGCACGAGGCCGAGTGTGGTACACCTGTGCATAAATTATTGTGCTGTCAGCTAAAAAATGGGCAATAGTATTATTTAACAACAGCAACGGCAGCAACAACAACCACAACCATGACGAGATAGACAAAGACAACGACATTTGGGTTTTGGGGCTTGTCAATAGCACCTTCTGCGCAGGCTTTAGGTCAAGCAACATCTCCTTTAGGGTTTTGGGCTTCCCAACCATTTCTTTTGTTTAGAGTTTCAGCATCGCCTTTTAGGGTTTGGGGTTTATCAGCTAGCACCTTCTGTGCAGGCTTTGGGTCAGCCAACATTTTTGTTTAGGGTTTGGGTTTTCCCAACCATTTCTTCTGTTTAGGGTTTCAGCATCTCCTGTTGGGGCTTGGGGTTTGTCAACAGCAGCTTCTTGGCAGGCTTTGGGTCAAGCAACATCTCCTTTCAGGGCCTGGTGTTTCCCAACCATTCCTTTTGCGCAAGGTTCCAGCATCTCCTTTTAGGGTTCGGGGTTTGTCAAGAGCACCGCGGCCCACGGCGCGGCCTTCGGGCCGCGACCCACGGCCTGCGGCCCACGGCCCGCGGCCGTCGCGGCCCGCGGCGACACCCGCGGACACCGCAAACAAGAACTCCTGTACCCAAAAAATGCAGCGCACAATTGCATTTCTTCAGTTTAGACTTGTTTGACATTTGACCCAGTTGTATCTACTCATTCCCTGATCTTATCCCATCTATGTGCGCGCTTCGATCCTTTTTGTGTATTTAGAGCTGTTGTAGAAGTGGTAACTGGTGAAGCTCACTCATGCATGTTAGAGACCAGAGACGCCGCGAGTGAAGTAAAATGAATGACTCTTGTACACACATGGAGGAATGAGCATCTGGATATGCACCCTAGATCTCAACGCTTCTAGGCCGTAGGCTAGGGAGCTTGTAGGCACTTACTAGTTCTAAAGCCGACTTTCATTGACAACGAACTGATTCTCTAAGCCTCCAAGCCTCTGAGCACAATCGAAGCACCCACAAACGACCTGTTTTGGACACCTGGGTGCGTATCTCTTCTAGGCGCATGGGCCATAAGCTCAGAAGCTGGCAAGTCTGATGCGGCAGGCAGTACTTCAGGCGCTCAGACGCATTTAGACTCTGGCATGCATGCGTAATTCTACATGCTTGGCCGCAAGTCGGCAGACCCACCCTCCCCATCCAATGCGCAGTGATTGCGTCCGGCCAGACAAGCGGCTGCAACGATGGCTGCAGCAAGAACGGCAGCAGCAGCAACAGCAACAAAAGCAGCAGCAACAATTGTCAAGCCTCGCTTCGTGCGAAAACCGGGCCTGGACCTGACGGGTGATCTCCGACTGTCGTGCTTCCCGCTTCTCCACGTTCTCAGCCAAACTTGCTCGGTAGAACTCAATCATCAGCCTCGGCTTCAAAATGCTGCAAACTTGTCTCAAGTGACTCACCTTGGACCAGCTGTGTCAAACTTGGCCCAACACGCTGTGACGAGATTGACCACGACCAGAACGGCAATGGCATAGTAACCGATAAAGATGACAATTGTGGCTGGGCGTGCCTGTGATGCATGAAAACTGCCCACAATACATGCAACCACAATCAGATTAAAGCATCATCTGCCTTGTGCACCGCCTCTCTTGCCATAGTTGTCCCGTCAGCATTCAGAAGAATCTGCAGGAGCGACATGGCAGCTTCTGGAAATGTCGCCTTTGCGAGACCATGTATCAGAAATAAAACAAGCTACTCAACAAATTGCTTCAAGCGAGACAACTGGGGGGGGTACAAAGCCTCGGGGGCTCTGATGCCCCAGAGTTTCTAGTGCAACAGCAGCAAAGGCATACTGCACCACGCAGATCAGGCCCATCATCTGTGTCATTGCCTGCCGCAGTTGATGCAACGTAGACAGCTGCAACCCATCGTCCCGCAACCAGCAGCTGTCTCTACAGGCAGGCTATTTCTTGCTTGGACATATGGAAGAGGCCATAGGCCATACTGATGACGTGCCTGGTCACTACAACAGCGCCGTGGTTGTTTCGTCCCTCTCCCCCTCTCCCAGCCTTTCCCTCTCCATCTGCCTTCCTTACTTTTTCGTCGGGCACGGAAGGCAAATGTCCCAACCATGCTAACGTCCGCACACACTCCATCCGTCCCACCCACGTTAACGTCCACGCAGCCTCCATCCGTTCCCACAGAGCATCCATGTCCCAAGCATGTTAACGTCCACGCAGCCTCCATCCGTTCGCACAGAGCATCCATGTCCCAAACATGTTAACGTCCACGCAGACTCCATCCGTTGCCACAGAGCATCCATGTCCCAAACATGTTAACGTCCACTCACACTCCATCTGTTCCCACAGAGCATCCATGTCCCAACCATGTTAAAGTCCACACAGACTCCATCCGTTCCCGCAGAGCATCCATCCCAACCATGTTCATGTCCACACAGACTTCATCTGTTCCCACAGGGCATCCATATCCCAACCGTTTTAACGTCCACACAGACTCCATCCGTTGCCACAGAGCATTCCTTTGCCAACCATGTTAACCATCCATGTCGCAACCATGTGCACGTCCAGACTTCATCCGTTCCTCGATCCGTTCCCACAGAGCATCCCTTTGCCCACCATGTGAACGTCCACGCAGAATTCATCCGTTCCTCCACCCGTTCCCACAGAGCATCCATGTCCCAACCATGTTCACGCCCACACAGACTCCATCCGTTCCCACAAAGCATCCCATGTCCCAACTAACATGGTTAACGTCCAGACAGCAAGTCGTGTCTTCGAAGCATAAAGCGTTTCAGGGCGCTGGGGTCCATACACTGCTCTACTGCTGACATGCCGTGCCTGACATGTCTTTCTATGTCTTGATGGACAGTGACAGAAACTATAATGTGAAAAACGCGCAGAGCGCGTACAATCACTATTTCTACTACTACTACTACTACTACTACTACCACCACCACCACCACCACCACCACCACCACCACCACCACCACCACCGCGACTACTACTACTACT